GGTCGCTCACAGTGGACATAAATGGCTTCTTTCACTCCTCTTTCAAACCATCTGTCTTCTCTGTCCAAAATGTGAACATCCTCGAAAGAGTAAACTTTCATCTGCACCTAAAGGATAAAGGTCACTCTTGGGGACACTCCCGTAGGGCTTAAAATCTGGGACTCTCCATCAATTGCACTTAGAACTAAAGAAGCTTCTCGGATAAGAGGTAAAACGTCTTCACGAAACTTAAAGAAGTCCAGACACTTTTCTTTTCTTTCCAAGCTCCTTAAACTACAATGACCTGAAGGCTTAGACATGATGCTGATGGCTGATGGTAAGGGAAAAATCTGATCTTTTATCAATAGTCACATTAGTATACTTAATCAGCAAGGCAAAATTAGAGCATACTTTCCATTTAGCAGTCAGTATAAACTTTTTTGATAGACCAATATCAAAATGGTTAACTTCTGATGTTGGTATATTAAACTTGCAGATATGGATCCCGGACAAAACACAATTGAAGATCTAATGTTGCGGATTTGTCACCTCGAAAGTGTTGATCCCTCCAGAGGTGTCTGTCTCTACACAGTGGATGGAATGCCTTTGACAGATGATCCTTTCTTTAACACATGTAAGCTCATTTAGAGTTAAGGATTCAAAAAGGTAATGAGAAGGTATTCTTTCATTTTGCAACATTCTATAGGACAAGAAAATGTATATTCAAAATATATAGTAGTATAATATAGCAATACAATAGAAAAAATACAATGGGACAGTTTAGTTAAGAGCACCAAGTGTGAAATCAAAATCTTTATTAAAAGCTTAAAATCATACTCAGATGTTCAGTTAGCAGTGCTCACAAATTCAAGAGGGAGCACTACAGGCAAAATTCTAGAAATATGACAAACCTTATCCATAAGAAAACAAACTAGAGGCAGGAACTAAAACAGGAAATGTTTATATGAAGAATTTACCAGAAAAGCTAACTAGATCAAGAATAAAATAAACATAAGGGAAACAAACGTGTAAATGGCTTTCGCATACTCTTTTCTTCACAGTTAAAACTGAGACTTGACCACTATTAAGCTGTGCTTGAAGCTGTTGTCCTGTGACTGATGCTCACGAGGGTATAGTACCACAGTGTGTTCCAACACTGCTTTTATGCAGAAAGTGGGGGTTTTAAGTAATCCAGAAAAGTTGGAACTCGTGTAGGAATTAGTGGCACCGGCTTTCAAGAGTTGATCAACCTCCATTGCTGCAGAAGAGCTTTAAATTTTAAACCTATTATGTGTTTGCTGAAAAAGGCCTTTTTTTTTAAATAAATCTGAGATGTACATTATTTTTCAGTTTTGGGAAACCTTACCTTTGTTTTTAACTTCTGCCAGTTCACCACAATGTAGTGCATACACC